TATAATAAATAATATATATATATATATATATATATATTATACTTTTATTTTGTGAAGCAGATGCTAAGTGTGGTTTAATACTATAGAATTCACCACCTTAAGTCCTTAACCTCTTACGGCAAACAAATAGCAATGTGACTAGGGACAATCCCAGTCCAAAACCCCAAGATGATACCCAAAAGTCAACTTGGAGTAATTGAGATTCCTTTTAATTTTTTCAATTTGCTACTTGAGCTAATCATTTTAATTTTCAAAAGCTAAAATAATTATACAGAAAGAAAAATATAATTAAAATTTTGTCTTTTGTTTTATGAAACACGTCCTAACTCCATAATATAGTCTTAGATATGGTTATGATGGCCGAATCTGCAGGCTGCAGATACTCTGTGAGAAAGAGAATATAATTCAACAAACATTTAATACAGCTAAGTTAAATCCAAGAGGAGCAGTGGTAAATGTAGATATGTTGGTCCTGCTCTGAGGTTTAGCCATATGCTTCTGTTATACTTGAACTCCACATTACTATTTGTTAATTTATTTATTTATTTATTCTTATATGATATATTTTTCAGTATCTTTCGTCATTTTTTGACCCACTTATTAAATCTATGGATTTTTGACTGACTTGTGGGTCTTCAAAGGGAATCTCAGTCATCATGCCTTGGTCCTTAATTCCATATCAAAATTGACATACTGAACCGGTTTGGTGACCTTAAGAGGTCAGTTTCAGTTAGATGCAGGATTACATGATGAAATTTTGTGAATTCCCTTTGAATTTTGATTGGACATTCTTTATTGTATTTTCTAAAGAGAAGAAACACACAAAATAGTTCACAATTTTTTTTCTTTCTCTAAAGTTGTTATTGGTGTAAAGTATGTATTCATTCTGTTAATAGCTATCCTCAGTCAAAAAATCATATTGATCATGTTTAAAAGTTTGAACACAAACTTGTATTTTCCTCTCCAAAAATAATGATGTCATGTTCCTTAAAATTTTATATGTAAATAACAAATTCACCATGCTACTGCTCATTCAACAAAAACAATTGATAAGTTAATTAAAAGGTGAAAAAGAAATTGAAAATTAAAAGGAATTTTTAATAAAAAGTTATTAACCTAAAGTTGTTAAATAAAATTATTAAATTATAATTGTTTAAAGAAACTGACTATTAAACTAGTTTGATAAATATAAAATGACACAAAAATATGTCAGATGATTTTTTATATAAGTTTTATTTTTGTTTTAGTAAAAAATATATATTTAATTAATTAATGCTGAATTCTTTTCATTTTTATTTAAATATATTCTTTTGAAAATTAAATAAATGCAATAACAATAAAATAATTACAATAGTATAATATTGAAAAATAATGAAATAATTATAAAAAAAATATTTGAGATATTTTAATTATGCTTTATTGTGTTATATATCCTAGTGCAGACCTAAGATGGGAACAAAAGCACTAAAGTAGAGATAATAAGATAAATTAGACTGATTGAGTATTCCATTTAACTAGTTATTGTTTTTTGCATGGTGGATTGGAATATTTAATCCACCAATTCATTTAGACTTTTCAAATAAAATTGGATGGCTAATGATAAAAAGAAAAAAAAGGGTTGGAGCAGATTGATTCATTGGGTTAGTTTGTGTACTTTTTTTGTGATGTGGTTTAAAACATTGAAATTAATTTCTTTTTGTGAAGGCTGTGACAACTGGACTTTTGTTAGTAGAGACCAGAGGGTACTTGATTTCAAATTTATAGTATTTTCTGAGTTGTTTGACTCATTCAATTTTTGGTTGACTGGCTTTGGTTATTAGTTTATAACAAGTTAAATTACTATTTTGTCGTTGAATTTAATTTCAAGTTCATCTTTCTTTTATTAAAATGTCTAATTTCATCTCTAACTTTTTAAAATGGTATAATGTAATTTTTTTTTCTAATCGAAAATAATGATGTTCACTGATTCTACATGTAACATAATAAAAAAATGACATATATTATGACATATTAATTTAATGTCATTAATGTCAAATTAGATAATTATACCAGAATAATTAAAAGGTTAAATTGAATCTTTTAATGATAGAAAAGTTAAATTAAATAAATTGAGAAAAAAAAGTAATCAACTTTTATATTATTATGAATTGTCGTAATTAACTTTACATTTTTGGGATCTAGATGGATCATAATAAAAGTAGAGTAATATTATGATTATATTTCTTGGAATTTGTTTTACATGTTGCTTGAATTTTGTATGAAATAGGAAAAAGAATTAAAAAAAAAAATTGACTCGATGGTTGTAATATCTATTATTGAATATGAAGATCAATTTAGTATTCTTTAGACTAATTTTTAAAATGTTTAAATAATATTTAGTTAATAGAAATTTTCTTGTGAACACATGATAATAATTAATTATAAGTTTTGACATATTGTATGAATAATATTAATTGACATAAGAAAAAATGAATGAGGCATTTAGCATTGTACTTTAAAGTTGTTAATTGAAGATAGTGAAATATGATTCCTCGCATATTAAGTGCATACTTCTTAATTATTTCGAAGCCTGATAATATAAGACATTAATTATTTGATTATTTATTTTATTTTATTTTCACTCATTTTTTTTTATGAGTAATCAAAAATATTATTCAGGTGATCTTTAATTTTAACTTTTTAATACTTTTTTTTTTTTACTTTTATTATTTTATAGTGAATCCGTTAATAAATTTTATTTTGTTCTCTTTTATAGCAGGTTAACTCAGCAACATATCGCATTGTAGAGAGTGAGTTGTGATTTTTAATCCATTTCATATATTTTTGAAAATTACTAGTTGACTTCTAACTTATTTTACAATCCGAAAAAATTATTTGACTTTATTAATTTTATTTGGTAAACAAGTTTCTCTCAGTAATTAGTAGCATTTTTTTTATACACTACTTCAAGTAACTCTTTAAAAAATGCTAGCTTCTTATACTTTATTTTCTTTTATTCTTGAAATATTTACTATTTTTTTTAATCTTTTTTCTTTTACATGAAGATAGGGCTTTATTTTATTTTTGTATTATTTTAGATATTTTTATATGGCACTATATATTTTAACTAAGTTCAATAGTGAAAATATATGCTTAGGCTTCCTTTAATCAATGCGTCCCCCGATAAGAATAATTATTTTTTATTCGTCCTTTTTTTTAACATGTTTTTCTTATGTTTCGTTGGGGAGGAAAAGAAATTAAAATGGAAATAAATAGGTGAGAATTAATTTAATAGAAAATAGAGTGAAATAAGATGAAATTTGTAGTTATTTTGTAGAGTAGAGTTAGCTAATAAATAAATGATATTTTAAAATAATATTTAATATAGTTAAATTATTTTATAAAAATAAAATATTCAAACAATTTTTTTATCAAATAAATATAAAAACTGTTATTTTGTAATTTATTATTAAATTTTAAATTCTGTTAATAAAAATAATATGATATATTTAAAAAGTAACAAATATAATCAATTACACATATATATATATATATGAGAGAGAAATCTACTTACTCTAAAAGTAAGTCTTGTTAGTCTTATTTCACTTAATAATCCATGTTGTATATTAAATTTTAACGATCCAACTATTAAATTAAATTTTTTAATATATATTAATTCTATAAATTTTTAAATATTTAAAAATTATTTGATACTTCATTTCAGTAATTCAAATTAATGGATATTCATAAAAATATTTTATACATTAATTTGAATTTATATAATGAAGTATTATATGATTTTCAAATTTTTTTAAAAAAAATTGTATACTTATCTATATATTAAGAAATTTTAACTTAAGGGTTTGATCATTAAACTTTGGTGTAAAATATAAGTTATTGAGTGGAACAAATCTATCAAGACTTTCTCTTAGAATAAGTGAATGTATATATAACACATTGACGAACGAATTCTCACATTTTTTGAATAATGAATTCCATGCAAATTTGACTATCTCAGTGTGAAATTCGTTTTTGTCATGAATCCCACTAAAATTCCATGTAATTCTCTTCTAGTTCATTGCCCCAAACACAAATGCATAGTGACACTCCATAAAATTCCATGTTTTTCTCTTCAACTCCCCTAATTCTTGTCTACCAAATGCAATGTTAGGATTTTTTTTTTCTCGTACATTTACATTTTGTTTGGAGGGAGTGATTTAAGAGAGATTCAAGGAGAGAGAAGGGGATTTAAAAAAAAAAAACTATGTTTAGTAGAGGAAAATTAAGAAAAATTGTGTAGAATAGGATTGGGTCCCACAACTACAAAATTACCCTTTCACATAAGAGGATTTGAAGGGAATTGAAGGCCGAGTAATTCACAATTACAAATATAACCTCCCTAAACCCTTGTGCATCTCTTTTTTGTTTATGAGTACACTCATGTTACAAGTCTCTTAAACATTTGAATATGTTAACAAGCTAATACATTATGCGAGCTAAGTAGTATGAATGATATTCAAATATATTGCAACATAATGGATTATGAAACAGTTTAAGGTAGGATAACTGATTATGCTAACTAGCATAACTGATTATATATATATATAAATGAAGAATTTGTTTATTCTAAGATTAAGTCTACCTAAACTTACTTTATTAAAATATTTTATACGTTGATTTGAACTAATGAAATGAAGTATCAAATAATTTTTAATTTTTTTTAAAATTTGTAAACTTGATCTATACATTAAAAATTTTAAATTTAACGGTTGAATCGTTAAAATTTGATGTAAAACATAAATTATTGAATGAAATAAGTTTAGGAAGACTTCTATACATGAATATAAAAAGAGGAGAAAAATGATAATTGTATATATTATTTATTTTTACATAAAAAATCTAACTAATATAATATAAATTTTAAAATACCAATTTCTTTCAATTTCTCATCTAATTTTATTCTGCTAAACAACTATAAATTTTGCTTTATTTCTTACATATATCTATCAAATCAGTTTTAACATTTTCCTTCTCATTCTCTCCAATTTCTTCCCCTCTTCCAAGCAAAGCATTAAGAGATGTTTATACTTTAAGAGGAATAAAAAGAGAAAAAAAAATGATTAATATAACTAATGACATATATGATAAGAATGAGATAGACATAATTTGAAAATCTGAATGAGGTGTTTTAATTTGTTAGGTGTCCAAAAGTCATCACCTATTTTAAAAACAAACAAAGTTATTTGAAGTACAATTAGATACTAAATATAGACACATCTCCCATAATAGATTCAAACCTAAGTTAGTGATTTTGTGGAGGACTAGCTTCTTCTACTAGACTCAACAACCAGTAGAGCTTCATCTGGCTAAGTATAGGTGAAGTAACATGTACATAACTTATACAAGTATGTTAAATTATTATTATTATTATTTTGGACCTAAAACGTGTACTCTTATTAAATAATAATAATTAGTAATTAATGTTAATAAAATGTAAGAACGAAGTTATTTCTGAGACTCATTTAATAAAATATTTAAATTTAGTAGATTGTTTAGATCGAAGAAACAAAAATCGATAAAAAAAAATAATTAAAAACGAGTGATGTGTAATAATAGAATCCACTCGACAAAAAAATAAGAAAAGGAATTTTAAGGTAAAAATACTCTTTAAGATTAATATTTGTTAAATTATATATAAAATTTGAAGTATGAAATTAAATAATTTTACTTAATTTGACCTAATTATTTTATAATACGATCTCTGCATCACATTTACAGTCAACCATACTCGTATGATACGAGGCATTGACAATGTCATGTCCTGGACTCTGATATTTTCTGGGTTACCTTTGTTTCTTCTTCACCCATTCTAATATATCCTCATTGACTTTCCTTCCTCAATCTTTTTATGACTTCTTTTCTGATACCAACATCTCACATAAAAAGAATAAGCCATCTCTGTCACCCTTCGTATTCCTTATGTAATTTTCACCAAAATGTAGTGTAACATTTCTTTTCACTTTAAATACACACTCACTCACTAACCACGTTTTCTTTTTATTCCATCAACTTCACATTTTTTATTTATTTATTTTGATATCAAGCTAAAACTTGCAATTGGAAAGATATAATTAAAAATTGCAACATGATACCATTGATCTGATCACCACTCTGCTTCATTAGATGATGATGATTATTATTATTATTTCTTCCAATTCATGAATTATAATTCATGGTAGTTGATGATTATGTTAGCCATAAGATAGAAAACCGGAGGCAGTGGAAACGAGAGCTAAACATATAATAAGTTTATATTCCTTTCTAGCAGATGGACCTGATACATCATCATACAACCTTGTAGTTCAGAAATTCATATCTAACCCCCCAAAAAAAGAAAATATGATTAAACATTGAAATGGAAGTAATAGAGCCCTGCTTGCTAGTATTGTCCTATGGAACAGAAACTACAACTACGCAAAAAAGATAAGAAAAAAACAATTACATTCACTAGAGGGGTCAAGATGGTTGTTGCATCAACCACTAAGCACATTAATTGTTGGAACTAGAAGGTTTTTGACTGGAACTTGAGCTGAGACTGAGATCAAGAATTGCATTAGAAGCATTGGCTTTCTGATTCCCCTTGGAGAGTTTCTGTTTGAGCTCTGACAACAGTGCCTGATTCTCTTGATTAAGAAGCTGTGCCTTCTTCCTTAGTCTCTCATTCTCCTTCATTATGTAACAGTTCTGCAGGTACAGCTTTGAGTTCAATCTTTCCATCACTACTAATCAAATCTCCAAATTCTCTTCACTTACCCTGAAACACCAAGATAATGTATTGTTATTAAGCAAGTGAATCCAAAGACTCAAAGGGGTAGATGTAGATGTATTATAGGAACGTGATCCATTGAGAAGAATTAGAAACAAAAAATAAAGTAAGGAAACAAGAAAGAAACAGAAGCACCAACTTATTAACTGAAAGAAAAAAAAATAATAGAAAAATAAAAGGAGGAATATGCAAGCTTCATTGTGAATGTGTTGCTTTATGAATTGCTTTGGTAGATATAATTATGACACATAAACTAAGAAGGTAAAATGAACAGGGAAAAGCACAACAATTGAGTCTTTTGGACCACCTTGTCAAATAAATAGAGCATATGGGGTTGTCTGAAAAAACTAAAGAAGAAGGATTATGATGCAGGGGGGAATAAGTTAATAACATTTGTCCAAACCTTCACTGACTTGAAAGCAGAAAAAGAACAAGGCTTCTTTCGGCTATCCCAAGAGGGAAGAAAAGGATAAAGTTCCTACGTAAAAGAGACAAGCTTCGTACCAAGATCTTCTGTGTGTTTCTATGTCCATGTAAAAACACAGGTCTTGGTGTTCCAAGCACACACACACACATAAGAGGCATTCCAAAAGGTTTTTAATATCCTCAGTAGTGCCAAAAGTTGCCAAAAGTAAAATAAAATAAGTTAATGGAAGGCTATGGCTAGAGAAAGACAAAGAAACCATTGAGGGTGTTTTTCATTTTCTCTTACTTTTTTAATTTATAATAATATATAAAATATAAAAAAAATAAGCAAAACAGAATCTAGAGAGAAATTTAAAAAAAAAAAAAAAAAAAAACAAAAGTTAACATTCCTTCCAGCAAAGATACCTCAAACTAAGTGAAGTCTTAAGAAGAAGAAGAAGAAAATGTGAGTTGAAGTGAGATAGATATGTAAACAAAAAAAACAGAAACTTTGCAATAACATGAGATAGCATGTGTAGATTTGTTAGTGAAAGTGATGAGAAATGGAAAGATGAGGGAGAGAGGGGTGGGGTCCTCTCTTGAACTTTTCGAAAAAGATGATCACCTTTTGGGAGGAGAAGAGAGTAGAGAGTAGAGAGGGTGGTGGTGTGGAGGAAGCAAAGAGCAAAGAGCAAAGAGCAAAGAGCAAAGAGTGGAGTGTGGAAGGAGTGGAAGAGAGGGGAAGTGAATTTATAGAGGGAAAAAAGGGAAAAAAAAGGAGGAGAAGAAAAGAAAGAGAGGGTGGGGGGACGTGCCTCTCCTCTCTCTGACACAACAATCATGCATGTGTAAGCATGGAAGGCGGCCGGTTAGTAGCCTAAAAGATTTTATGTTTCGTTTCTATGATGATGCTTCTCGCGTCATGCCAATCATCATGCTTTACCTTCCGTTTTCCTTTTCATTTTTTCTTTTTTTCTTTTTTCACTTTACGTTCCTAATGCTACTTCCTTACTCTATTCAAATTCATTCATCACACTAAAATATACTCAATCAATTCATATCACATTCTTTCGTCTTAATTTATCATATTCGGTTACACATTAAAATTATTATTTCAACTTTCAATTAAAACTAATTTTGTCTTTCGGACCCATCTTACTTGATTTAAATTAACAAGATTATCTTTTACGAATGATACCATCAATCTATATAAAAGTAAATAAATTCAAGAGGTTAAACGTATTACAAATCATTAAAGATTAAAAGATGAATTTTTTTCGTGTGTTCCTTCACATTTTCAAGATATTCAAAAAATATTACTTTATCTTTACAACGACTTTCATGGGTTTAATTTGATTTTCTTTCATCTTTCTCAAATCAAATTTGGTAGGTAATGAGGTAAGATTAAGTTCACAATGAGGTAAAATTGTGTTTTTTATTGGATAAACCAGGGTACATTTTAGCTAAGATTTTTTTTTAAAGTATTAGAATCTATTAAAGGAATTGAACTCTATTAACTTGCATAAATAAATAGTCAGCAATTAGCACTAGTAACTTGCAAAGAAAAGAAGATGATTTTGTTGAAGAGAAATTAATTAGAGATATTTGTTTTTCCTAAGGGATTGTTGTTGTGTTGGGAAAATGGATTATTGTGTGATGGAGGGTAGAGTGGGAATAAAAAGGGGCATAATGGGAGAGGGGAGGAACAATAATGGGGGCTTTCAGTTAGGGTTTGTAAAATGATGATGGGCTAGGCCGTCCCAAGATATGCAATGATGGTATGGATTGGGTCCAAAACCACCATCAGCACCCTTCCTTACCCTATCATCAATTACTCTTTTGTTTTTATTTACGCTGCGGTTCTTCTATTTTTAGGTTTCCATAATTTACACTTTCGTTTTTGTAATTTTCATGTGTTGGGAAGTGTTGGCAGTAATCATTCTCATTGCCGTAATGTTATTCCCCCTTTTGTTCAAAATGGAGAGATTTTTGTGTGAGAGAGGGCAAGACACTGCCACTTGTTTCTGGACTTGTCTCCACTACACGGCACTACTCGTGTTTTAATTCCTTGCCATCATCGTTTCCCATAATAATAAATGTCGTTTTACGTTCGAGCGATCATGCCAATTTTTGTTCATTTATGCAACAAAGTGAACAAAAACATGAACTGCTCTTCTATTCTCTCTCTTTTTTTTTTCGATCTCTTTGTTTTTATGTGCTCGGGAGAGTGCTTTTCAACAAACTAAACGTGAAATCATTAAAAAGGTTCCACAAAAAGGGCAAAAAAGAAAAGGGTGGGAAGGGTGTTATGCATTGTGATTACTCATTATACTAAAGCCAGCTTGTTTTGGAACAAGTTCTATTTGAGAATCAATTCTTACTCCTAATCGGATTCCATTCACATTTATTAGCCTGTGTAACTTATGAGCGTTTTAAAGCATTGATGCTATTTTGTTTTACGTTATTGTAATCATAATAATTATGAACAATGGTCGTAGTATATTAAGTATAGCCCTCTTTAATATTAATAGTGTGTTTGAAAACTACAGTTGAATTAAAAAATTACACCCACAAATTTTTATATATTTTTTTATCTATTAAACGTGATTTTAAATTGATATTTAAATATAGACATAGTAATTAGACATGATGTATAGACTATTTTTGTTGGCAAGTTAAGGAGATGGGGTTGGAATAATTGTTGGGGGAAGTGGTAATAAGGGGTTGATGAGAGTTTGGGCCAGCCAGCCCCCAATTCCCTCGTGGGTTATGAGTGGCATAAACGTGAAACATCATGGTTGACAGATAGTGTTTTGGATCGATGTGCCAATGTTACTTATGTGAGTGAAGTTTTCAACCAGTTTATGGGTGGGGGTGTCCCCCTTCAAGCTCCTTCGTTTCAATCCCCTGTTTTAGGACTTTGCTTGCATCAATCTATGTTGTCTAATTATGGGGATTCAACCCATGGGTCACCTCTTAAGGAAATTACTCTTTTATCCACAACGGTTTTATTGTTTAAGGCTTTTGTTTTAAACTAGAACTAGAATAGATTTTTACATCATCAACAAACTCCAATAGGACTAGCCCCTTAAACATGTTAACAAGAGTTTCATTAGTGAACAAAGGTAAAACTTGAAAGGAATTAATCTTCAATCATATGTTGATTATATACATTTATGTTCATATGTATAATCCATTCTTATATATTAATTTTAAACACTAGTCCCGACAAGTGCTTTTAAAATTTTTTTATTTATAATAAATTTCAAGTAACTTTTCTTATACTTTTAGCTAAGCAAAAATTATTGTTAAGGTAATTATTATAAAATTAAAAAATTTATGATTATATAGTGATATGTGATTGGATGATAAACTATTTTTTATCCTTTTAAATTTATTATATATAAAAAGTTTTATTTAAGGTATTTCATGTTTATTAATTTTATAATTTTTAAATTCTTTTAAATATTATTACTTAAGTATAATCAATTTAATTATAATTTTAAATTTTGATATATTATATCAAACTGGTAAACATGAAAGCCAACGAAAAATATATCTTACGAACGATCGTAAATTAATTTTTAGTTGTTAGTTTTGAGATATTCTATAAATCATGGATAAAAAAAAGTAAACATAGAGATAAAAATGATTTTATTTATAAATTTATTTTCATAATTTCCTTTTTGATTTCAAAAGTTGTATTTCTTTAATTTGTTCAAATCTAAAAGAATAAAATAGAATATCACTATTTATGATAAATATATCTTAATTTTACCTTCTTTGTTTTTTCTAGAGAAAAAATGATACATGATTTCCTTTATTAAAAAAATATGATATTTTTCATATATAAACCAGTGATCTTTTTATCTCTTACAACATGTATGGAAGGTGAAATTGAAATTATAATTTAGATTTTTAATTTCAATTTTAACAGTTTAAAATTAGTGCAAACGTATATATTTTATGTTTGAGTTTTATATTCAATCCCATCCTTCAATTTTAAATGTCGAATGAATAATTATGTATTTTGAAATGAACTTAAATTTTAAAATGTCCATTAAACAAGTTCTAGTTTGGTGGACGAAAAATATATGATTGAGAAATTATTTACCAATCATCGATAAATTCATTAAATATTTTACACTAGTAATATACCGGAAAAAAAATCAACACATAAAAATCTGTCTAGTAAAACAAAATTGTTAGTAATATAACAATATTTTTTTTTAATTATTAGATAAGTTTTATGACTAATAAGTGATAAAACTTTTCTCATTGGATAGGTGTATTATAAAAGTAAAGTGGTCCTTCTAATAACAATTTCATGATTAACCTAAGAATCAAATTATGTTTTTATATTTAATATTTATATAAACTGTAATGATCCGTCTTGGCCGTCACACTACGCAACACACAGCTCGCCAATAAACACATACTAAGGCAGTAGTATAATATAATCATTCTACATTCCTTAATATGTACAACCATATACAAATATCTACTCAAAAACATCTAACAACAGCCAGCTAGGCTACAAAATAAAACCCAACTCCAAGTTCCGCTCTATGGCTCTATTGCTGCTCTCCAGCCTATCCCTACTCTGCTCTCATACATAGTATGATCATAGTAGTTAAAACCACATGGAAACACACAAGGGTAAGCTAGTGAAAATAATCAACATATATATAAACAACTTACATCTCAACAACAGAAACAACATCATCAACAGTTCAACATACAACTAGAGTTGTCAAAATGGGCTCAGCCCGGTGAGCCAACTCGGCCCACCACGGGTTCGAGCCGGGTTGGGCTAAAAAAAATTTGCAAATTTCAGTGTGGGCCAATTTTAAACCCGGCCCACTAACAACCCGGCTCACCCGGGTTCAACCCGTGGTGAGCCGGGCTGACCCACCAGCCCATAAAAAAAAAAAAAAAACTTCTGCTATTGGGTTGGGCCAAATAAAACTTCATAGACCATCATAGGTTCTCAATTTTATGTATTTTTTCTTCAAATTATGTAATTAGTGTAGGAATTTATTTACTTTCAACACATAACAACACCCAACTCAATCAACACAAGATCAACACATCAACAACTTATGCATCGTCACACATTTCAACTCGGAGATCTCCTACAACACAGGGTGAGCAGTCTAAGTGGCTAGGTCCTACCGAACCGACAACACATAACCTTTTTAGGCTTGTTAGGTAAACAACAAATTTAGATATCAATCAACAACATGATAACAGTTTCTCAGACTTTGCCACTTAAACAAGGAAATGTAATACTATGTCAGGATAGGACAACTGGGTTTAGGCCTACCACGACATTAGCTAGCTCAACTAAGCCACATATGAGATTAGCCTACTGACTATCTTCCAAATACTACAACCCTCCAATACACGGTTAGGAACTAAGTTCCCGACTTTGTACTTTACTCGAATTAGTCTCTTGTAATCGGTATAGTCCGACCTAGCCCCTATATTGTCGTCGCTTCATACACATGTGCCTCGACTTTGCCCACACACGGGATCAACTAAGTCTTAGAGGAGAACAACACATCATCCACTCCAAGGGACAACTTCCCAAGGAGGGTTTTTCAACAAATTGGGCTCTCAGAGCACCGCATCTATCTCAATCCACACAATAGGATGAGTAACTTCAAAAACATCTTCCCTAATCTTAATGATCAACAACTCATCATCACAGTACAATCAGCATACATCTTAACAACACAATACAACTCAACAACTCAAAATAGCAACACAACAACTCAATTCAACTCAACAACTCAGACAACACACAACCTTTCAACTCATATATCATCTCAAATATAGTTATACAACT